AGACGGAGTCTCACTCTGTCACCCAGACTGGACTGCAGTGGCGCCATCTCAGTTCCCTGCAGTCTCCGCTTCCCACGTTCAAGCAATTCTCCTGCCTCAGCATCCTGAGTAGCTGGAATTACAGGTGTCCACCACCACGCCGGCTAATTTTTGTTGTTGTTGTTTTTGATAAGGAGTCTTTCTGTGTCACCCAGGCTTGAGTGCAGTGGCGTAATCTCGGCTCACTGCAACCTCTGCCTCCCAGGTTCAAGAGATTCTCCTGCCTTACCCTCCCAAGTAGCTGGGATTACAGGCGCCTGCCACCACGCCTGGCTAATTTTTGTATTTTTAGTAGAGACGGGATTTCACCATGTTGGCCAGGCTGGTCTTGAACTCCTGACCTCAGGTGATCCGCCTGCCTTGGCCTCCCAAAGTGCTGGGATTACAGGCGTGAGCCAGTGCGCCTGGCCCCCACTTCCTTTCTTAAGTCATTTAGCAAATTATTATAACGCCCTTCTTATGTCTTGGACTCTGTGTCGGATGTGGAGCCATAGTGCCGAACAATAACAGCGAGGAAGTTTTATCCAGTAGGCATCTTTCAGAATCCTGCAAAAGTATTTGAGACCTGATAATAATTAATGGGCCTCAAAATAAAACAAATTGTAAAATTGAAATTTTATTAGTTTCCAATTAAATGTAGTGTGAAGGATGTTAAAATTTATAATAATTATTAGTTCTCCTCTCCTTAGTAGTTCCATTTGTGAATATAACCTAGGAAGTAATAATCCTTGTCCCGAAGAGGTAATTTATATAATTATAAAGGTGGTCATTAAAGCATTTATGGAGTAGAAATAATTGAAAGCAAACATACATGGACAACAGGAATGTTTCCATCTGCTGTCATTAAATTTAGCTTATAGGATCATCTGTGTGGTATAATTGCAAGGGCAATGCTCCTGTTCCCCTCATCATTTCCAATGTGGTATAAACTTTTTCATACCCTCTTCTCTGGTTATAAAAATGATTTTTATTTTATTTTTAGACAGAATCTCACTCTGTCACCCAGAGTGGAGTGCAGTGGTGTGATCACGGCTCCCACAGTCTCAACTTCTGGGGCTCAAGTGATCCTCCCACCTTAGCCTCCCTAGTAGCAGGGACTACAAGCCTGTGCCACCATGCCTGGCATATATATATAGATATAGATATATAGATATATAGATATATAGATATATATAGATCTATATCTATATATATCTATATATCTATATCTATATATATAGAGAGAGAGAGAGAAAGACAGAGCCCTGCTCTGTCGCCCAGGCTGGAGTACAGTGACATGATCTCAGCTCACTGCAACCTCCACCTCCTGGGTTCCAGCAATTCTCCTGCCTCCACCTCCTGAGTAACTGGGATTACAGGCACACGCCAACACGCCTGGGTAATTTTTTTGTATTTTTAGTAGAGATGGGGTTTCACCATGTGGGCCATGTTGGTCTTGAACTCCTGCCCTCAAGTGATCTGCCTGCCTTGGCCTCCCAAAGTGTTAGGATTACAGACATGAGCCACCGTGCATGGCCCTGGCTAATATTCTATTTTTTGTGGAGAGAGGCTGTCACTCAAGTGATCCTCCCACCTTCACTTCTGCCTCCGCCTCTGAAAATGCTGGGATTACAGGTGTGAACCACCAAGTTCGGCCATAAAAATGATTGTTAAAAGCAGTAATAGGAATACCATTCTTTTACTTGCAGTATGTATAAAGGAAAGAAAAAAAGATTATGTCTAGGAACTCATATATATTTGCAAGATGGAGCAAATGAAGACAATTGTCACAAACTGAAGAGATTTATCTGGCTGAGGCTGCTACGAAGTAAGATAGCTTTGTTAACAAGCCAGATAAGCCTTTTTCCTGACATTTGCATTGCAGACATGCTTTCATGCCAGTAGATAGTAATCTACCTCTGCAACAGATGTGTTTCTTGGTGTCAGTGAACCTTGTCTCCCACTTATAACTGATTAATGTGTCCTTGACCTTTGGCTTTTATAAATAATGCTACAGTATATATCTCTGTATACATATGTCCCTGCACATTTGTGCATATATTTCTGTTTATGGGAAATGGGTTTGTTTGTTTAAAATTATGTGGGAGAAGTTGGCCCCCAACAAGATCATTGTGTCTACAATATTGTCTTTGCAATTCAGAAGCTCTGAGACTAAAAAGATTTTTTTTGTTTTCTTTTTTCTTTTTTTTTTTAAGTGGAGTCTCGCTGTGTTGTGCAAGCTGGAGTGCAGTGGCACAGTCTCAGCTCTCTGCAACCTCCGCCTCCTGGGCTCAAGCGATTCTCCTGCCTCAGCCTCCCCAGTAGCTGGGATTACAGGCACACACCACTGTGCCCAGCTAATTTTTGTATTTTTAGTAGAGACAGGGTTTCACCATGTTGCCCAGGCTGGTCTTGAACTCCTTACCTCAGGTGATCCACCTGACTTGGCCTCCCAAAGTGCTGGGATTACAGGCGTGAGCCACCGCACCCGGCCAAAAGTTTTTCTATGTATCCTTATTCAAGTGGCAATCTGATGTGAATCCATTTGCTGGCAAAGGTTGATCTGAACTCCTGTTATGTGAAACCTTTATTATCTCCAGAGTGTGAATATTTTATCTTACTGCAGAAATATTAATGTGGGATGATTGTGGGGTGCTGCCCCAGATCCCACTGAGCATATAAGTAGTATTAGTATATTATTAGTATATCGATCCTTTTTATAAGTAGTATTAGTATACTGTGAGTATATTGACCCTTTTTAAAATGAGAAAAACTGAATTTCAACACATTTGGCCTTATTGGATCTTCCCGTCCCCATCCCCACCCATGAATGTGAAGTATTTTCTTCACTGTAAAATGTATGAAATGTGTTAATATCCAGGAAAAGGATTAACCAATTTACTTGAAGATTATTAAGGATTATAATAAGAGTTATATTTTAGAGAGCAAGACAACAGTCTTAAAATAGTCCAGATTTTGCTTGAAATCCCTTAGGAATATTTTTGTTCATGTGGTCTGACATGAAGTTCTGAATTTTTTCTCTGGCAGTGGAAGAAATCACCATATCTTTTAATCAGTGGACTCAGATTTAGCAGGAGTGTTATGCAACTAATAAGAACAAGGTATCTTGAAATTTGAGAAGTTGCAATTCTAAATGTAGGAAAAGTGCCCTATAAGAGAATGTACTGGAAAACGAGACCTAATAAAGGGGCATCTTCATTAGGTCCTTTTAGGTCCTTCACTATTTAAATTACTGTTACAGTTTTATTGGTGGGTGGGCATACATGTTGAGTATCCATTATGGGAAATGTTTAACACCAGAAGAAGCATTTTGGATTTTTTCACATTTTCAGTATTTGCATTGTGTTTACCAGGTAAACATCCTAAATCTGAAATGCTCCAATGAGCAATTTTTTAAACATCCCGTTGGCTATCAAGAAGTTCCAGCCGGGGCGTGGGGGCTCACACCTGTAATCCCAGCACTTTCGGAGGTTGAGGTGGGCAGATCACTTGAGCCCAGGAGTTTAAGACCAGTCTGGGCAACATGGTATTACCCTGTCTCTACAAAAGTACAAAAAATTAGCTGCGTGTAGTAGCACGTGCCTGTAGTCCCAGCTGCTTGGGAGGCTAAGGTTGGAGGATTGCTTGAGCCTGGGAGCTCAAGGCTGCAGTGAGCCAAGCTGAGATTGGGACACTGTACTCCAGCATGGGTGACAGAGTAAGACCCCGTCTCAAAAAAAAAAAAAAAAAAAAAAAAAAAAAAAAAATCCAGATTTTGGAGCATTTCAGATTTAGAAAGATTCAGAAATGCTTTCAGATTTTTGGATTGGGAAAACTCAACCTGTGTATATTTGAATTTGCATTGGTTTAAATGCCACTATAATGTGAGTCTGTTACTTCAATATTACTATATAGGTTTTTCCTCTTAATCATTTATAACTTCATTACTGATTTAATCGTAATCCTGCTATATGTAGGTAGTGATTTTCCTTTGAAGACACCTGTAGTGCAGGGGTCAGCAAACTTTTCCTGGAACTAGATATTAAATATTTCAGGCTTTGTAGGTTAGATTGCCTCTGTCTCAGCTACTCACTGCTTTAGCCCCAAAGTAACTATAGACAGTAATGTACATGTTTATGCTATAACACTTAATTTCTAAAAACAGATTGTGGGCTGACACCTGCTTCAGGGGATTTCTTTTAGTGGGTTGATGAAAATGGGTAGAGAAGAGTTGGTAAGGCTTCCTTTTGGAAATAGGATTTTTTTCTAGGCATTGTGGTTTTTTGAGGTGACTTATCTCTGGATATGTTCTGAGTACCTTTAAGAACTGTGCAATGCCAGTGATAGATCAGTAGATCTCAGACTTTTTCCTTTCTTTCTTTCCTTTTTTTTTTTTTTTTTTTTAGAGACATCTGGAGTGCAGCGGTGCGATCTCCGCTCACTGCAACCTCTGCCTCCTGAGTTCAACCTATTCTGGTGCCTCAGCCTCTCGAGTAGCTGGGATTATAACACACCTGGCTAATTTTTGTATTTTTAGTAGAGATGGGGTTTCACCATGTTGGCCAGGCAGGTCTTGAATTCCCAACCTCAGGTGGTCTGCCCACCTCGACCTCCCAAAGTGCTGGGATTACAAGTGTGAGCCACCATGGCTGGCTGAGATATTTTCCTTTTTATAGTAAGAGAGTACATGTTTGAGCCTTTTTTTGACTCTCAATTTCCTGAATATACACAAATAACTGTCCTAGTTATGATTTTACTTTGTTTTTCTGGTTTACCTTAGCTAAGTTACTTTATGTCTTTGGCTTATTTGATTTATTAAAGGCTTGGGGCGACACAGAAGGAAGGTAAAATTTAGGGTGCTGTGGCCAGTCGTGATTACAGGTTTAGCATAATGTGATTGCATAAATGATTTTATTTTACATGAAATAAAATGTCCAATGACAGCTCACATGTCACGATGCTGAAATTTTTATTTAAAAAAGTTTCAGACATGAAGAGGAGCATCGGCGGCGTGAGGAAGAAATGATCTGACACAGAGAACAGAAGGAACTGAGGCCACAGCAAGAGGGCTTTAAGCCAAACTACATGGAAAATGTAAGTAAACTACTAGTTAACTAAAATGATTTTATATTTTCAGGTTTATGATGTATATTTAGAATTCTTTAGATTTTGGTTTATACAGTAGTCTTTTCTAATCTTTCTAAATTCATCATGTTTGATAAATTAGTGATTAGTGATTTTCTTTTCTTTTCTTTTTTTTTTTGAGACGGAGTCTTGCTCTGTCGCCCAGGCTGGAGTGCAGTGGCCGGATCTCAGCTCACTGCAAGCTCCGCCTTCTGGGTTCACGCCATTCTCCTGCCTCAGCCTCCCGAGTAGCTGGGACTACAGGTGCCTGCCACCTCGACCGGCTAATTTCTTGTATTTTTTAGTAGAGACGGGGTTTCACCGTGTTAGCCACGATAGTCTCGATCTCCTGACCTCGTGATCCGCCCATCTCGGCCTCCCAAAGTGCTGGGATTACAGGCTTGAGCCACCGCGCCCGGCCCAATAAATTAGTGATTTTCTTAACCTGTCATGGGTGGTAAAGTAAAACTAGTTTCTGAATATAACATTTATGTTTTATGAAGTGGATGTTATATTTTCTCCTATTATTTTAGTTGATCTTTAAAAACATATGCTATTAAGTTAGAAATATTGATATGTACATCATTTCCACTTGACTGATTTTCACTATATAGTAATATTGAAACATCTTTGTTTTGGAAGATTTCAGACATGTACAAAAAGATTCTAGTGTGTACACATCATCAGCCATAACACTTATAAACGTATGGCCGATTTTTTACATCTTTAAGTATAACCACTTTATTTCCCAATTTATGTTATTTGAAATACCTGATTTCATATAATTTTATTATTTTCAGTATGTATCTCTAAAAGATGAGGACTTTAAAAAAAAATCTTTATCATATTTTAAAAATGGCAGTTCTTTCGTTTTAACTAATTAAAGCCCAGATTTGCACAGGTCTTAATTTTTTTTTTTTTTTTTTAACATTTGGTTTCTAATTGGCTGATATATTCAGGCTCTTTTAGTCTATAGGTTTTCTCTTCCTGTCTTTAATTTTTTACTAACCATTTTTTTTTTTGAGACAGAGTCTTGCTCTCTCGACTAGGCTGCAGTGCAGTGGCATGATCGCAGCTCACTGCAACCTCTGCTTCCAGGGTTCAAGCAATTCTCCTGCCTCAGTCTCCCAAGTAGCTGGGATTACAGGTACGTGCCACCACACCCGGCTAATTTTTGTATTTTTAGTAGAGACGGGGATTCACTATGTTGGCCAGGCTGGTCTCAAACTCTTGACCTCAAGCGATCTGCCTGCCTCAGCCTCCAAAAGTGCTGGGATTACAGGTGTAAACCGCCACGCTCGGCTGACATTTCTAAAATAGATCATCTATTGTTTCATAAGATTATGCTCATAGAAAAGCATTAGGTGACAATATACCTTCTTTTCTAGTAGCTTCTTAACGTGTGTATCGCATACTTGAAGCATCATGATAAAATTAGTTTGGCTAGAGTGTAAGTTGGCAAGCTGTAGCCTGGGACCACGGCCTGGTTTTTATTACTCCACCACAGAGATATTGATGGCGTTTATGTTTTTAAAGGGTTATTGCAAAAGAAAGAAGAAGATTAGAAATGATTTGTGACCCACAGTAACTTAAAATATTTGCTTTCTGATCTTTTTATAATGTCTGTGGAAACCTGGGCTGGAATATTTATTTATTTATTTTTTCATTTTAAAATTAGTATTGATGGTAGATAGACCACAAACTTACTATGCTCTTAACTTTTTGGAGTATCCATGTTTCAAATAGTATGTAAATGAGGTATGATAATTGTGTAACACTGACTAGTGTTCTATTAGTTTATTTGTGACTAGAAATTATATAAATCTGCACAAGGTTTTCATTATTTTGCTGTCAGTTTTATTTGGTTCCAAGCTTCACAATGCTCCTTGTTACTATAAACTTAATCAAGCACTAAAAGCAGTATGAATGAAAGCTCTACCTATCTCAAATATTTTGTGTTAATAGGAATGTAGTAATAGGAAAACGTTGTATTAAGAATGCATTGAGGCTATTCTGTCAGTTGTTCTTCATTTACTTTGAAAACTGTCTTTGGAGAAAATTATTAAACAATTTTAATGTGTGTGTGTGTGTGTGTGTTTTAAGCTTTGAAATTAGGCCCTCTTATGTGCTTTCTCTTATTTAACTGTTCAATTTAAAGGGAGGAATCAAATGGTAAGTGTTCAACTTGTCCAAGTAATGAGTAAAGTTGATTTTCTTCGTCAATTTTAAGATGCCGCCTCTCTCTTCTTGTCTTCCTAACTGAAATACTTCAACACAACTAAGGGTTATGGAACTTTTAAGTATAAAATAAATATTCATTTACGTATTTCACCTTTTAAATAATAATTTCATGTAACAAAGAATGACAGAAAACACATGTCATATCTGGTCATCTTTTTCTTTGTCAGCCTTCAACTTGACCATAATTTTATGACACATGGGAATATATTTTTAAGAGTTTCAAGGATATAAGCCAGTACTTCATCAATATCAGTTGTCATTTTTATTTAATACTTTATTTTTCCTTAGAAGATAAACTTTTTGATAATTGTTGTTGAAACTATAAATTAAACAACATTTTTTACTCATTTATGATAACATTCAACTGCCTTAAGAATGAATACATTTTTATATGTCTTAATTGCATTTAGGTTTGCCTTTACCATAATATAGAGTGTGTTTGATTTTTTTTCCAGGCAGTATTTACTAAGTGGAAATTTTCTACTTATCACAATTTTTGGACACATTAAAAGCTATTATTCTGGAAGCAATGAGAATTTCATGAGATTATTTTTTATAATTGTCTTGTGATTGTTTTCATATTAGGTTACTCCACCACCTGTAGATTAAGTAGTTTAAACACTTCAGTACTTACCAGTCTTTATTTATAGGAAAAATTTGCATTGGAGTAAATGACAGATTTTAGTTCTAGCATTTTGTTGATGCAGTTTCTTGGAGTAACATTGCTTCTTGGGAAAATGTTAATGTCATAAAAATATCCAAATGTCCATCTTATTTTAGCTTTAGTTTTTGTATCATGTAGTTATGAAATATTTGAGTTAGAAAAATTGGGGTGATGTTTAAATTGTATGTTACTTGGTTTTAAAATCTGAGAAGTTTCTTTTTTTTTTTTAATTTATTTGTTGCAACAGAGTTTCGCTCTTGTCGTTCAGGCTGGAGTGCAATAGGACGATCTCAGCTCACTGCAACCTCTGCCTCCTGGGTTCAAGCGATTCTCCTGCCTCAACCTCCCGAGTAGCTGGGATTACAGGCGCCTGCCATCATGCCCTCATGCCCAGCCAATTTTTGTATTTTTGGTAGAGATGGGGTTTCACCATGTTGGCCAGGCTAGTCTCGAACTCCTGACCTCAGGTGATCCGCCCACCTTGGCCTCACAAAGTGCTGGGATTACAGGCATGAGCCACCATGCCCAGCTGAGAAGTTTCTTTTTCTTGTATGGTACATATTAATGTTCGCCTTTTCAATAAAGAAAAGAATAATTCTTCATTTTCAGGTTTCCTGTGTTCAACTAAATATATACCTGACTTGCTATTAAACCTTATTAGTCCCATTTGAGTAGTTGGGAATAGCCCCGGATATTTCAGCACAGTTTATTCAACACACATAATAAACTTGAAAATAAAGGGATGTTATTCTAAGGCAACAGTTTGACTCAGTTGTATTTCTTTGCTTGTCAGAGGTGTTCCATTGTAGCACCCGAGGGACTGTGAGGCCAGAACGATTAAGGGAATGTTGGCAGAGGCTAATAGTGTAGTGCTTCTTCCAAAGACAGTGTAAATTTTTTTTTCTCTTTTAGAGATGGGATCTTGATATATTGCCCAGGCTGGGCTCAAGCAGTCGTCCTTCCTCATTCTCCTGAATGGCTGAGACAACAAGCATATGCCACTGCGCCCAGCAGAACAGTATTTTTCCAGTGTACATAATAAACACTCAAGGAGCTTTTAAAAAATGTGGCTTCCTAGATCATACTTCTAATAATTGACTTGTTTGGTGATCCAGGTAGATTGTAATACATTGATCTTTGATGACTTTTTTTTTTTTTTTTTTGCTAAATCTAGTAGTTTTCAACATTGCAATATATTTGTGGAACTTAAGGAAAAATGCCGCCTCAAAAAAAAAAAAAAAAATGCCTGAGATTCAGTCCACCAAGTATTTGGATTCAGTATGTCTAGGTTGGTGCCAGGGGATCTACGTGTTAAAGAAAACTCTACACCTTGCTTATTTCTTTTTGTCAGCAAAGATTCAAAACTACTGGCCTTGTATTGAAATGAGACATATTGAAATGAAAATAGCTGAATTTTTCATGGGTCCTGGGAGTGTTAGTGGAAGGCATGCTTGATGTGGTTTAACATGGTGTAAGATTTATATAGGACGCAGTTTGTTTTTTTATTGATGGTGTCTTGCTGTGCTGCCCAGGCTGGAGTGCAGTGGCTATTGACAAGTGTGATTATAGCACACTATAGCCTGAAACTCCTGGGCTTAAGTGAATCTTCCTGCCTCAGCCTCCCAAGTAGCTGGGAGAGTAGGCATGCTGCTGCACCCAGCTTTCTTTGTTTTTTTCTTTCTTTTGATTGTGTCTCCCTTTGCTACCCAGGCTGGTCTTGACCTCCTCGAGCTATCCTCCTGTCTCAGTCTCCTGAATAGTGGGACTATAGTTGCCTACCACTGCATATGGTTATGTATCCATCTTTAGAACACGGTTTAAACAATATGACATTCTACCCTGCAGAATTTGGGTGTGGCAATCTTGATTTGGGCTTTCAGACTATATGTGCAGGACATATTATCTCAAACTATGCATTAATTTTTCGTGCATAGTTCTAATAGTTTTAATTGTCCCATCCAGACCAGGGGTTGACAGCCTAGAATAGACCAGGCTCAGTTCACATGCTGCCTATTTTTGTAACACTTGTCTTTGTTTTATGACTTGTTTGCCCTACAAA